CAATGAGCATCAGTTGAATGTAACGTTTAATGTAACTAAATAGTATATTTACAATTTTTTAAATTGTTACTGATTAAGAAGAGATAAATACTTGCTTTCATCTATGTTCAATATAAATTAAAATAAAACAGATCGAGTCACAGTTGACTAAGAGTAAAAAATGAAATAAAAGAAAGTGCAATCAGTAAAAAGTAACAAGTCCGTTTACTAGCAAATAGCAATGGTGGACGATTAACCACGTAGTCGTCGCTTCGTTAAAGCTCGTCTCGCGTGGCCGATTCGATTAGAGTCAAACTCGAGCTTGCGACACCTGCAGTGATAAACGTTCGCGAATTTTCCTTAAGGGCCGGACACCACGTCGCTTTATACATGGAGTGTGCTACTTTGAAACAGTCTTGCGAAGTCACGTTACATCGGTACATATATACCATTGCTACGTACAGAGTTTTCGTTTGAAATTGGAAGTGCGTGCGCGCCCGATAAAAAAGATTTCAATGTCAGATACGCGTTGATTGGACACTTTCAAAAGTGAGTTACGATGGCAGATAAAAAGCGAAATGAACGTGATATTTATTTTAAAAAAATGCATTTTTCATACGTGTCAGTTAGTTGATTTACTGCTTGCTGAACTCTCTTACTCGTGAAGCCTTGAATAAAGATTAAAAGAGATATATGGCGGTTGATCGCTTTATTAAAAAGAAAATCCAATTACTTTATCTGGAAAAATGTGTAATTACAACGACATAGTAAAATTTGAATAAATGTCGAAAAAATTATGGTTCCTGTATATTTTTAGAGTGATGGACACTTTTTTTCAATTATTAACAAAAGCTGTCATGTTAATAATGATATTTTTGATGAAGAAAGAAAAATGTGCTCGAAAATATTGAAATTCGTTTGTCATGTCATACTGATTTTTTCGCGACTTATTATTAGTAAGCATTCATAACTGTAAATTTTTCAAACTCAAAAATAAATCTAATATATTTGTTAAGAGTTTAATATCTAGAAAAATATTACGAAATAATCTCAAGTTATTCACGAGTAGCATTATTTACAAAATCAATTCACAATAAAAGTCATGCCAGATGGAAGCAAGCCGGATAGCATACATTAGGCTAACACAATTAGCGCAAGTAGTAATAAATTTACACGAGTAGGCTTGCTCGGCCAACTGCTGTTATCAGAAACGAGATTCTAACTAGAGAGAATAGCTCTCGGCATCAAGAGAAAAGTTAGTCCATCGCCCAGCTGGAACTAACTTTCCCATTAACATCCGAAAACAAAGCCTTTGCTCTTCACTCAAATGGTTAGAAAATCCATCTCAAAAGCCAAAGAATATTGATTAAACTCTGGCTAACTTGTCCGTAGGAGTATTGAGAGACCAAATCTACAGACGCTACCCGTACATTTAGTTTCATGTCATTTTCACCGGTCAAACTTTGATAGAGTTAGAGCTAGAACTATCAAATAATTTTTCAATTAGATAACGCCTGCTGTTCAGAAGCGAGAAGTATATTCGAGAAGAACAATTCTGAATAATAGTTCATACATATTCCTTTCATAGTTTTTCAAAAGTTATACATTCGGTGTTCAACTATTGGCTATCTTTTTAATAAAAATAATGTTTTTCCAAAGTTTTGAAAAAGTTCAAACACTAACTTACAATTATTAACGTAGAAATTGTGCTAGTGAAAATTAATCCAAAAAATTTTCCAACATTGTCTGCAGGCGAATAAAAGAAAAAACACTTTGTTGTGGAAATCCATCAGATACATTAATTACTCACTAGGTTGCCTGGCCACGTGCGTACACGTCCATCGGGACCTAAAGCTGAGCTAAAATAATTTTAGCCTTACGAACTTTTCCCTCTACTTTCTTTTCCAAGGGATGAATTAAAGACCAACATCAAAGAGACTTCTACTTAGCTGATTGACCCAAGGTGTTGCTTGAAATGAAATTGAATAGAAATTAATTTACTTTTGTTGACATGGAATGATATTTCGATAACTCTCAGGTTTATTATTGTTCAATGTGAGAATTCAACAAATGATTGACTTTCAATATATGCAAGAACTTCAAAAACGGCATTTCTACTCACAAAGTTTTACTGATTTCCAATTTTACTAGACAGCTTATGTAGAATACTTTATCGTCCACAGTAAAGGAGCACAGGTGTCGAATGCATAACCTTTTTACTACCAAAGTATATTAAAATAATTGAAGTAAGTATCACTGAATTTGAAAAAATGAGTTAGGTATTATACTGAATTGACAATAATTTGGCATATATAATTTTGAAATGGTATTCTCTTAAAGATTCTGTATTTTTAATCTTGAGCTTAAAACTTTATACACTTATTCATTGTAAAATAATTAACATTTTTGCTGCATTCTTTTAGCTTGATAAGTCATTTGATAAATATATTAAACTGTACTTAAAGCGCATGTGTTATATACACAATTATTAAGCCAAAATAGTTATTCGAGAGCTCATTATCTACAGTGGAGCACGCCTTACAAAATTTACAAAGTTTTTTCCTAAAATTTGTTTCGAATTGAAATAACCATGAAATGTAAATGTAAACTGACAATTGATTCAAAACTATCCTATTTTCTAATATTTTGTGGTATTTTATAATTAAAAATAGATTATGTTAAAAATGAATTAAGTGAACCCTTGAATAGCTATTTTGGTATTTTTATTTCCTTATAGAACACTTGTAAATAGAAAAAACTAATTAAACTTACATGTTATAATTCAAAACAAAATCATACTAATGTAGTTACATGCCTAAAATTATTCTTTTCGTGAAATATAATAAATAATTAAACATTCAGAATCCTACATAGAAAATGTGCAATTCGTTGAACACAAAATTGAAGTAGAAATGAATCTTCAATTATCTATAAGTAAATGTAAGCAAATCTGATAATTTATGACAAGCGTGTAAGGACGATTTGTTTGCAATCGAAAGAATAACTTAGATCATGATAGAACCTAAATTATTTATTTAATAGTAATTATATTCAATTGAATGAAATAATAATTAAATTAAACCTAATTCAACAGTAATTCAAAATAGAGTAAAGATTTAACATAAGGACAAATTATGAGATGGAATATTGTTGGCATTATTTGTCATTGTACTAACATGTGATAGATTCAACGAAATAGATTACAATATTAATTGTAAATGTAAAAATAAAAGATTTTTTAACGAATCAGATTTAATCAGATAATTTTTAATCGGTTAATAATACTTTCATTATTGACATAAAATAAATCCGTAACAAAATTAACTATAGAATTTAGAAACTAAGAATATTTTCTAGAAAATTATGAAAACGTTGAAGTAATCTAAAATAAATGCATGATTTCAGATTCATTTTTCTCACAAGTGTTCTCACTCTTAAGCGTTATGTTATATTATACATGGCAACGTAGAGAGTTTTTATTCATAAGTGTTGCTCGTTTTTATGATTTGTTGAATATTTATGGGATTAGCTGTAGAAGACTTGAGTGTTACTATAACTATATTCTAGTTTCTATTCTGGTATATTTCAACTTAAAATGTTTTTACGTTAACCACAAAATTGGGTCATTGCTAAGATAGTAGTAGTAATAATAAATAAATTAATCTATCATCACCATGACTCACATATTTATAAGAGTAATACAAATAATTAAAAAATTATAGTGAAATTTTCTCTTATAATCCATATTTTGAACAGTTCGTATTCTATTAGTTTTATATGCTCTTTTACAATTAGACTGACCTCACCCAGAAAAATCGATGACGGGAGTGTCATACTTTTTCAGTTAAAAGGATTAAAAGACTTGTTAAAATGACTTGCAGTTTCGAATTTTGAAGAAATGTTATTTTCAACGCTTTAACTCAAAGTTTTGCAGTCTGTACTAAAATGTAAAAGTAACGGGAGTGTGATATTATGAAACTTTATGAGAAAGCTCTATAATATCGACGCGTAAAGTATAAGCTATATGGATATATATTTTTCGTAGTAAAAGTATACTGAATAATACCTTTTATATACATATTAATTAGATCTTGAACGATCTGTTGAGACTCTTCATCATGCGTATATAAAAGCATTTTCGTGTTTGAAAATCAAATTAAGAAAAATATTCATTAAGTTTGAGTAAAGTTTAACTAATATACTATATTTGACGAATTATACAATATTTATTTAAATGCAAGTTTTGAAAACCTTATCTTTAGAAGATATCTTTTTTTTATTTATGGTAACAGAAAAGAAGTTTGTTGTTATTGTTCAGTTCCTATATTTCAACCACAAGTTTATTACTTACCGAATGAGATGTTTCACTTTTATGTGTCAACTTTAAACGAATGTCGTTGTAAAATAAGTCTTATTAAACAGAGTGGTTTCATTGAACGAATTTGGATGAAGGGTGATTATAAAAAGAAGATTCGAACGCTAGATATTGCTTTTATCATTTTTATTGAAAATACTATTTGAATTTGTTTTAGAGAAAAGCATTATTTTTATTTGACAATCAAGTTATTTACTGAATTTTGATATTTACATAAATATTATAATCTAAGATAATAATTTCAGAGATCTCTGGAATATTCATATTTTGATTATCTAAATATTATAAAATTAAGGTAAATACAAATTCATAATTCAAACAAATCTATAATTTATAGTAAGTGACAGTATGAAAATTATAAATTTTTTACGATGTTTCTAGCAATATTAAACTTACGTATTAACAATTGCATTAAAAACTTTAATTGGATCATATATTTCAGCAATGAGTATATATACGAAGAAATTTATAGACTAATAATTAAAGAAGTTTTGGAAAAGTTACTGTGACAGATCCAAACATTAACAATTAAGCTTATAATACCATCAAGACAGTAGTAAAATTTTTTTTTCATAAGTGTTAATAAAAGTGTTAATAAAACAAATTACTTTATAGTTTTATAGTAATAGAATAATACATTTACATTTTTTCCGAGATAGTTTATTGTTCGTTTTTCATACTATTAGAAGATTTAGAAAAAAATCTATTATCGAGATTGGAAGGCCAGTAATAGCAGAAAATTCAGTGTAAAAGTACAGACTGTTTGTTGCGAGCTCGAATTCTTGCGGCGCAGTATTGCTGCCATTTTGTCACCTGCGACAATAAAAAAACCATATATTCAAATCAATCAATACATTGGTAAAATGTGTACGTTAAATTGATAGATGGAAAAAAAGGTAACTGTGTTTCTTTACAGGGTTGAAAATTCGCTATTTTTAAAGCCGTGTTTTTGTCAATAGATGGAATATAATGCATGTTGCTCTTCAAGATTTAACATTGAGTTTTGACAATTAGATGAATAGTCAATAATGTAAAATATGAATATTTTTAATTTCGAATCGTGGTAAAAAAATCAAATATAATTTTATTAAAATTAATAATTGACTTTTTTTACAATGAATTTAGATGTATTAACTAATGCAAATTAAAAAAAAGTATGAGAATAAAACTAGAGATAGAAATGTAGTTTACGTGAGCTGGGTTTTAGTTAAACGATAAAATATCATGTCGCCGTTTCGATTTTCTTCTTTTTCTAGTGTCAAATTACGTCTATTAAGGTCCCGTAGGGTACAAAACTTTCACATAACTTTCTACTGCCCGAGATACACGCGCTTGATCGATGAGCTGGCCTTAAAGCTAGAAATTTATCAAGACACGAAAGCTTCTTTTTTTTACCAACTTGTTTGTTTTTCTGTAAATCAATCGTCCCCGTAATACTAATTAAATTAATGTTTTATGTTAAAAATTATATAGTTAAATCAGAAATAATAAACTTCAAATTTCTATGAAACATAAAGACGTAATCAAGTTAATATGCTATAATAAAAGTCAAAGAAAACTCTTATGAAGCACAGTGTTCTTACATTATATGAAATTTTTATAAATCAAATCGTTGAACAGTTTAAGTAAATGTTCACCTTCAGTAACAAAAACAAATATGGAAGTTAGCTTAGTATTGGAAGCACTGCAAGAGTAGTTGCCAGTGTCAGATTCGATTGCATTGTGAATTAGTAATCGACTTTGCGTTGGTCCCGGTTCATTTTGTACACTAATACGACCTCGCGTTGTGTCATAATTTATCATACGATTATTATGATACCAAAAGACATATTGAGGTGGTGTCGGGCTCTGAAACATACACACAATTATTAAGTTTTATTTTCGCAAAATGATGTATATGTAGAAAATTATTATGATCTCGAAAAATTACTCTGAAACGCCGTAATTGAAGAGCAATCAACGCTTTTTATATTAAGTTTAATTATTATTGCTTATTGGGATCGAACCTATGTGCAATATTATAAATATGTGGATGGTAGTATTTTCCGAATTATATTGAAATTTCGATTTATCAAAAAATTGTAATATAATTTTAAACTATAGATTATCATAATTTAATTAGTATCTTCAGTAAATCTGATTGAAAGCAACAAAATCTATCATGTTTTCCGAAAGCACTGCTTATTTGGAATGAAAATAAACCTCATTGTAGGGCTTTTAAATTCTTAATGCTAAAACTTGATTTATTGTACACGTAATAAGTTACAAATTTGTTCGTATAAAGTCGGCATTGATTTGTTAATTAACGATCGAGCTACTAAAATATTATTTACACAATTTTATTAGTACTTAACATCATGATTAACCAGTGCAAATTCACCTTTTTTATGATACAAACAAGATTAATTGTAGATCCCACGTCGACGTGATGTTCTTCACCTCCTAAAATAAATGCTTCTGGCATCACGATGTTTAAATTGACAAAATGTGATACTATTCCTGTACTTCTAGAAATCTGCATCAGAAAATAATTATTATCTTATGATATAGCTATGCTAGAATAATGATATATTGAAAAAAAGTGTCGAAATAATTTTATCGATCTGTAATATGAGAAGATTTTTATAACAATAATGTAAATTAATATGAGAATCATCCTATCAAACTAAAGGAAATATGATTGAAAAAAGGAAAGTTTTATGGCTTTCGATGCTAAATGAAATAAAGTTTAAAAAAAGAAGTACAATCAAAGTGGTGAAAATATAAACGTATCCAATATTTTGTAGCAAAAACAAATCAAATACGGAAATCAAATCAGACAAATCGAAAGCTAAATATCGGTTGTGGATGTGAGTCCTTTTATTGCAAAAGTATCGATTCTGGCGTGCATTGGAATAAAACGATAAATTTACATTTTGATGGATAAAAAAGAGAAGTGTATACTATCGTATATGTACTTTTAATATCGATAGGACCTTTGAAAGAACTACTTCATGTGTATATTTGCATAGAAAATACTGGCCGCATGCTCGACTCTTCATATAACGCTCTTCTTTGGCGAAGTTATGGGTTAGATAACGAAAATATCAGTCGAAATGGACTATTTCATACCTTTCCCTTCAAGTTGCTATTTTATTTTCGACAAACTATTTTTCCTGTTCCATATTTATCATCGTTAGTAGTCTGATTATGTTTTAAAATAGAAAGTCATTGTGCACTAGAATGCACAAAGAGACAATAACTAATTTCATATCACTATCAGTACAACAGTTTTTTCGCCTAAAGTACACTTCTGATATTTTTATGTATGTTGATGTAGAGTTTATTAAAAGAGAAAAATTAGAGCATTCGTTATTTGATGAATTAATTTAACCGCGTGACACCTTATGACAGTACTATACTAAAAGTCGGAGAAATATTGTGCATCATGGAATAATTAATGAGATTCCATAGAGAAAAGGTCAAGAGGCCGTCTCCGAAAGAAGACCACTTGAAGCTAGCCCAAGTTTATACAAGCCGTTGCAAGTTTTGAGGGCCACTCGCAAGCTCTTCTTCATTAAGATAATACTCCGTATAAAATGATGATCCTTGGGGGCAAAAGTTTGCTTTATGACTCTTCTTCGTGCAAGAGGTTCCGAATAATTTCCTCTTTATTACCTCAATTTTTTGTATCTCTTGTGCCTGCCGGTTTGCCGCGCTACTCTTAAGCGAGTATACTGAATCCTCGAGCATAAAAAGCAACGTGAATTTTTTCTTCAATCCATAAATATTTTCCACGCAAACGAATAATGAAGAGTAATTACAAACATTCCGTCAATGGCGATGAATCGATTAGTCGTAATGAAAATCTAATAACCATCATCGCGAGCAATTACGAGAGCTTAAATTCCAAGAGGCAGCAGGCAATGAAGAAGCGTAAGCCGACAAGCAAAAGCCGACTAGGAGACTGTAACGAGTATCGCAACTGAAGAAGCATTGCGGATCAAAGGGTAGCGAGCGAGGCTATATGGGCTAGACGCTTGTTGCGGTTAACGCAGCCGCAGCGAGAGACACGCGCAGTACTATCTTGGCTGTATACGCGTTAACAAGAGGCCTCGTTGCGCTTAACATAATCCGTTTCGTCCGGATAATCCCTTCATTATGTGCAGCTCTGAGTGTTGGCGGTGAGGAAATAGCACTGCTACCGTTTACTGTAAGTCAGCTAGCTTCTATATCCAGAAACCTAACATTATTAGGATCTTGCAGCAATGATAGTTTGCTTACTCAACGCTAATGATTAAATATTTACTTGAGCTGTTTGCGGCTTCGTTAAAGAATTTGCAGACTTTTTATCAGAACGAAACTTCCTTGTTTCTTTTTCGATGCATTGCGGCATGCCTCAACAGTTGAATGATTCACTTGAAAAAATAGTCAAACTTTTGTGTTATTATGCATGCATTTTTAGAACGCTGTTTGCCACATCTTTAAGGGAAACTTAGTTTTTCAAGTAAACTGAAAATTTTATAGGCATAATGTTGACCAGACAATATTTCACCAGTTACTTATTGGGTTTTTCAAGGTATCAAAAGACAATGGATTCTTCTTATTTAAATTCTTAATATTGATATTGATAGTGATATTATAAAGCCATTTATATAGGTAAATTTTCACACTGCTCTATTACTATATGATTTACTTTTAAATTCTATCTGTGTTCGTCACTTATTTAGCTTTATAATGGAATTCATCATATTTTCGAAATGTCGCAATTATAGATAGGATAGTATAGCTCCAAAGGATCTGTGGAAAATGTATTTGTATAAGATACTCTATCAATATAGTAAATTATACTAAGGTTCCTGTACTCCAAATTTGCTTGCAGTCAATATCAAATTAGTATGATATTTTAAACTTGGGTGCGCCACAGATCAATTTGGACCCTAACATCGTGTGTATTATTATAGTTGATAAATTTCTCACTAGATGGCAACATTATTCCGGAAAATTAACCATATTATTACTCTCAATCATATTAAATCTTGCGATATTACAAAGCAATACTATGTCAATACTATAAACAGAAAACTATCTTAACTCAATTTGTTTTCGACAACGTTTCGTTTATTTGTGGTCCCGCCACATCAGGTCTTTTACTCAAAAAATTATTGAAAAGTGATATTGTCATCATGTTTGTACAATTCATTGATTTATTTTTTGAATAAAGGATCTGATGACGCTGGAAGACAAATAACGAAACGTTGTCGAAAGAGATTGAATTGAAATAGTTTGTGTTTATAATATTGAAAACCACACAAAAATTTCTTTACTTTATCATTCCACAGGAATGATTCCGGAAAGCTTATTGTTTTTACTAGAGGTTTTGTGCATTGGGCGAAACAATTTTTAGTTTCTTCGGTTTTTTCTATCATACGTATTTCTAATTTAAACTACTTTTATAACTTTATCAATAAACTTGCAATATATTATTTCCTGTGGCAGTGTTTGTCCTTTCTAAAACACTTTCAGAATCTCTGTAGAATTCATGCACACCAAACGCTAACCGGTTAACTATATGGGTTCGATTGTACCCAGTAATGGACGAATAAAAAATGTTTTTAAAAAATGGAAAAATTATAACTATGATGTTTTCTTTTTATTTCACAATTTAAATTTCACGTTAGTATGAGAAAGATGAACGCAAGAAGCTTTGACATGCAGACTGAAAGCTGTACAGTCAGGTAAAAGAATGGCACACGCTGCATCACTACTTTACAACATTCGAAAACAAACCTTGTATGACTACATTAAGAACAATGTACCAATGAAAAAGAAGTTAGGTCGAAATAGTTTTCTTTCATTATAAAGTATTTTTAATAATGATTAAGACTTGAGATAAATAATTTATAAAAATTTTTTTTAGTTGTTCATGAACTTAAGATTTTGAAGTCATGTATGTACTTTTATCAAATGATAAAGCTGTTGATAATTTTAATTGAACGCTTAATATAATTTTTATTGTGTAATAAGAGTATTAATAAAATGTTATCTATGACAAATAGAGTGAATAAAAAAGTTTGAGAAAAATTTCTCTTTTTTTTCAAAAGAATTGTAGATATCAGTATAATTTAAAAGAGTTATATGAATTAAAATTAATTTTACATTACGCACACATTACAGAAAGTGGAATAAAATATGTTTGATGAACTCATTTTTATGTATCACTTGTCATTGTCGTCAGTTATACAATACATTCATCCGCATTCTAATCTCCAAATCGCACCTTCGGCGCTTCTTTTCGGCTCTCATGCGAAAGAATTCTGTCCCTGACTGCTGCATAAAAGCTTCTTGACGAAACTCGAGTCAGCACTCGCCTTCAGCTCCTGGCGTAAACTTTTCATTTCATCAAAAAAGTCTTTGCGCATTAGTTAGGAAATGTACTAGTCTCAAGTATCCCCCTATTGAATACACGAATTTTCTCGTGGTAGAAACAAAAAACTTTTTCTTTGAAGCGTGATAACTCTGGTTTTAGCGCATGAAAAAAATCGTATGAGGGTTCATTTTAAAGCTGCTATTATATTCTAAAATCTGTTTGAGCTTAGTAGTCCGGTATCGAGTAGAGGTATCTTACAAAGCATATTAATTCATTAATTAACGGTGTAGAGAGTATCATCATTAAATTACTGAAGTGATCTCCATTAGCTAACTATACAATTTGGTGAAGTTAATAAATGAAATGCAAATATACAAAGCTGTAAGTCATGATGAATACGTAATGAAATTATTCTAAAGTGGATGGAAAATTGAAAAATGATCTATGACATGTATTCTGATATAAACGATTTAACTCCCATACACATTGTATATATTTACGTTGTTATGTAAACTGGATTTTCAGTCTCACCAAGCAGCTCATTTCGCTAAAAGCAAGACAGAGATACCGTGTATTATATGTAATGAGAGAAGATGCTTGCACAGCTTTTGATAGCAGTTTCACTAATTAATCTAGGGGGTGTGCGTATATTGACAGTAGGAGGAAACTTTTGCTTGCATAGATATGAAATTATTCAATTTAATCATTGAATAACTTTCCATTTTGAACTTTAGCTTCGATACACTCGAAGTAACTGTTAAGCGGAGAACACCAGTTGCAAATCTTATATAATTCCAAATTCTAACTATGATTCAAGATTGGTGACAAGGGTTGAAGAACTCTAAGGAACCCTTGCGTTTGCAAACGCGCGTTAAGTACTCTTCATACAAATTTCACATTCACGACATTCACGCCTATACAGTAGCATTTATTTCACTTGAAATTATTTTAACTTAAAATGTTTTCATATGAAAAAATTAATATTTACGATAAGATTGAAAGAACAACGTCACCTGACATTCATAGATCCCATTATCTCGTTTTTTCACGTACTTCACTTGGAGAATCCAGTCGTCGGAGCCTTCTGGATGCAACACTTGAAAGCGCTCATCATTCGTATAAGTGAATATCGAATTTGTAAGTACGTGCCAATCACGACGACGAATCCATGAAATCTGAAACATTAGAAGAAAAAAAACAATGATGCATTAAAAAGAAAAATGTATGGGAAAAATAGAGAGAAAGATAAGCGCATAAGCGATGTAAAAGTTATAGGTGCTAATCATAATTTCAATAGCGTGATGGCAAAAAATGGATTGGCGATTGAAGTTGTTATTTTCCATTAGATAATAATGCTCAATTTATCGAAATCATATGAACTCATAGGCATTTTGTTATACTGAAAATTAACAGGAAATAATAATTAATATTTCAGTCATAAACAATATATTATTTATTAATTCGTTGTTTATAAAAGCTGTATGTATTTTAATCAAACATATTCTCCTCTAGTTTTTATGCTTACGAATATATTTTTCTTGGTTAGTTTTATTCGAAATTCCAAAGATAGCGGGCGATCGCGCCTTCCAAGCGAAGATTAGGCACAACCGAAATTAGGTACACGAGGGTCCCGACGCGCTGTCGTGAAAGGTCAGGGAAACGGACGTGAAACACGTGTGCGGAAAGACCCGCCTGGCTTCAGTAACGAGCGAAAGGGAAAACTCAACTCGCTGTTCTCCCTGCGCCCGCCGATCTCCATACCTGCGTAAAATGTTAACCTTTTCTTTGAAATAATTTGTAATAGTTGCGCCTACTACACGTACGTATTCCGACGCGTCTTTTTCGACGGCGATGACAATTGCTAGTTCCAATGTAATTAAATTTATCGCTAGTTCTACTCCCGAAGTGAAAAGTACAAATGAATGTGCTTGAGCGAAAAGACACTCGCGGGCGTGAAGTCGCCAACTCCACGGGTTACTCCGAGAGGCTGTTAGACCTCGCGCGAAGCTCAGCTTTTGGGAATTATAGGTCACCAGATACACAGGGATGAAGCTGTAAAGCGGATCCCTTGGTTCGATAGGCAACCGATGGAGCAAACGAGCGGGATAGGGAGTCGAGGAAGTATTTGGGGGCGCGGCCGAGTGCGCGCGCATCTGGGCCCAAGCAAATGGGATGGTGTGCGCCGCAGTTAATAGCAGTTGTGTTGCTTCGGTTGCATCGTCAGCCGAAGTAGTGGAGTCGCTTCCTAGCTTAAGGGTTACGAATTTATATTGTCAGCGAACTTTCATTGTAACCAAGTTTTTATAACCAGGTCTGCTTCATTTGAGCAGTAAGTATTTGAAAAATAAAAAAAAATTCATTCCGAAATTGTTTTGATAATATCCACCTTCGAGCTCTATCCCTCACAAGTTTTGCCATGGTTAGAAAAAAAGAGTGAAAATCACATACTAATGAATGAAACTAGCAAACTTACTTCGGTATCAGGGATAGTGTTGTCGGCAAGATTTCGAATTTTACAGTGTAAAAAAGCTGTGTCACCAAGTTGAACCGTGACGTTCGTGATAGTGTTATTTTGATGAATCTCGTTCGCCTTTTGCAATTCTTCTAGGTTACTATACCATAATGCCTTCCACTCCGATGGATGACCGTTCGGTGCTTGTCGATCTGTAATCATTATTATAAAAAACTTGTAAAGTATCAATATACATATCAAATCATCTGTGATAAATATAGATCTTCCTTTTTTGAAAATGACTGTAGAATACTACATGAATAAAATAACTTGAAGAAACGTAAAAAAATTGGAATGTAATAGCAGTTATTTCGAACAAAATTGTAAAATTGTAAAAATTCGTTAGAACAAGAATTTTTTGGTCACATCGAAGGCAGAGATAATTCACGGTCGTTTCTTTAGTTTATCTTGGTGGCTGATCGATGGATAAGATAAGAAAACGTTTTATTTTTTACGACGTGCGTAGCTGTTCGATATTTGCAGGCTTAGCTATCCTCAAGAACAGTAAAAAATCCATCTCCCCGTGACGAGGGTACGTCTATCTTTACATTCACTCCGCTCAATCTTTGTCTTCATTCTTTTGGGTTTTCGTATCTCGTGTCTTGAGGATGATTTTTTCTTTCTTTTTTTATCGAATTTCCCATTGAAAGACAAAAGTAACGTTCAATTTTTAAAGTGTTGAAAAAATTATCGTCAATTCATTCAACCAATGTTACTGCAACAATAACTTATAAGAGAAATGTATCGACAAGTGCAGTATATATAGACTTCTTATATCAATTTGTCATCGCTTGGGAATATAATGAATTTGATAATCAATGATGGCAGTATACATTTTTTATTTTTGTTTCGAATAAGAAAAAAACGAAAACAAAAGAAAACGACACGTTCACGGAGCAAAAATATCAATATGCGGATACAAAATTCATCGAGTTTTGCCAGCCAGTCAGACTGACCGTTAACTACTTTATACGTGGGACTGAACATCTTTTTTTTATTTTTCGTAAGTGAATTTTATTTGTGTTGATATTCCTTCTATCTTTACTTCATTCATATTCATAACTTTTATCTGCAAGCTCGGTATTTTTTTTTTCCATCTACAAACTAACGGATACCTTTTTATTTCGATTGCAGACAAATGATTTAAAAACTGATAAATTTTTTGATACTAAAAGAACTTGTGTTTTACTTCTCGATTAATGAACGTAATATATTTTCTCTCCTTTTTGTTTAGAAAAATTACTTTGCAAGCTCGGCGTGAAATACAATATCACGCGATATGCACTTTCATTTTTCCCTTCGCGTAGCGGCTTTATCAGATCGTTTCTTGTTTATCACAAGCCTGGGGGGGGGGGTCGAGATGCCAGCCAGACAAATAGAATGAGATAGCTTGGAATATAGCGAAGGGGTAAGGCTAAGGAAGAAAGAGTGTGGCAAATGCAAATGTGAAAATGTATTAGGTGACAGACTTTTGTGACTGTGTGGTTTAGATTTCAATCGAATTTCCTGTTTCATCATGCCGAAAATTATTTGGAACTCTATAAAGGTTTACTTTTTGCAACAATAAACTTTAATACTTTATTTTTAAAGTCCATCTGAACTGTTGCAAATTAGCATCGTACCGATAAAAAAATTGGACCACTGAAAATCGATAGATGATAGATCAAATATATAATATTTATGATGAAACAAAAGAAAAAGCATTCAGGCTGAATTTTATTGAATAGTCAAATTGTTTGACTAAACAAGAAGGTCGGTATTGCATATTTATAAGACTTGATAGAAAAAACAGTGAATGTATTACACAGAGTGTGGAAGCTTAGAAATCGAAGCTACAACATTGAATGCGGACTTTATCTTTGATAATATTTTTTTTGCCACATGAATGTATTCTTGAATCTTGAATGAATATTACTGTAAGCGCTAGCTTTTCAATAGAATACTGTAGATTCTTTAAAAAAAGCCACTCACCTTTGTTGAATGATCGAGCCAGTAAAATTGTCGGCAGGATAAGAAAAACCATGTACCATGATAATCGATCTCGCATAGCTACTTTTTTCTAAGAATTTCCTGTAATCATAAAAAACGATATTCAGTCCTGTAATCATAAAAAACGACATTCAGTCCTGTAATATTTTATTTCTTTTGTCTCCGGTACCAAATGGAATGTATACGTTGCAATTCTGCGCTAAAAGAAATAGTATTTCTTTCAGTGCAGAATTTGAAATTGATATACGAGGTCAGTAAACAAAAAGATTTCTCTTCTTAGAAGAGGAATTTCGCGGAGAATTATTTTGAGAAGAAAATTTTTTCAGTGATCTTCGGTGGAAGTCCATTTACTTTCAAGTATACAGTATGCTTAAATACATATGTACACTAAAAATAAATCCTCTTATAATAAGAAGGATCATTTTACTTCAAGAGCATTTCCGCCTAAAAAATAGTACCAAGAGCGGGGTTTTTCTCGACAAGAGGATTCTCTTGGGCCAAGATCGAATATTCTTATTACAAAGGCATATCTTCTTGTTAAATGACGATTTTTTCTTATTACAAGAAGGTTTCCTCAAAATCACTGTACTTTTGTAAAATACTATTTTATGCAATCATCGTAATACTAAGCTTTGGTCTCGTAATTTCTGATTTTCATAATTATTAAAGCACTCATTTATTTGCATATAAGTACATAAAGTTGGAAAATCCCGCTTAGCAGTTTGAAAAACAAAATAAGTTTAAATAGCAATTTCATTTTAAGCCCCACTCTAGTGAAAATATTTAATTAGGTTTGTTGCGTCCTTCTCTCTACTTACTACTTTTCCTCGAACGGCGCAGTTTAACATGAACGCTTGGTTTACTTGTGTACGTGACTCGGTCTCCGAGATAGTACTCGCACCGACAGCACTCGCTTATAACTTTCTTGCGAGCGTTGCGTTATTCATCTTACTCAATCTCGTAAAAATGGATAAATCGAGAGGATAACTCTCTGAATGCGGTGAACATAGTTTTCTTTTAGAGAAGAAAAGAAGAAAAAATATATAGTTAGCTGTAATTTGGATAAGCATATATATATAAGAATCTCCAGTATTTTATCTTTAGTATTTTATCTGGTTAGATTATAATCTATAGATATATGTGCGTCTGTACGTGTTCGAACTACTTCCGTGGAATCTTAGATTGGCTTTGCTGACCAACCCGTAGTCGTCTTTTTATTTTTGCGTTCTCAATTCTCAATAAAGTCATTTAGTTAGCTCTATTTCTTTCTTCCTTGTTCTTTCGCATTTTCTCTTTGATGCGCGACGATAAAATCCAATTCCTCCCTTCGTTCCACTCGACTTCACCGTAGAAGCTTTGGTAGCGAGTTGAGAGAAAACAAGCGACGATCATCGCCGCTGGACATTTTTAATTTATTGTAAATAAAATAAAAAGAGCTTCGTTAATAGAAATCGACATTATTATTTAAAAAATGTTGTTTCTATCTATTTATTGCTCTTACAGTTCATGTAATATCATAAATAACTTTGAATATTTAACTTAATATATGCCTGGTTGGAATAGAGTGTAAAATGCAATGAACGAGAACACTTCAATACTTTTTTTCTTAGAAACCGTATCCTACCAATTCATAAGCTTAACCCTGTTCAAAGCGACAATTACCATAATTACTTTTCTATCCGCATACTCTATAGCTCAACTCTACTTATACTTTATTGAGAAATCGATATATGGTCCACGTGCACGCGATCCATTTTAAAAGCTCATTCTGAGCTTTAGTGAGTGTGCTAAGTCGGTAAAGGCTTTTTGTAGAGTTTTCAACTACATTTATATCTCTGTAAAATTATTCTAAAAAATTTATTAAAAAATTGATTTTTCAAATATTTGTTTCGGTTTTGTAGAATTTCAAAAAACTAATTTTACAATTTTTCACGAAAATACTTGTCACTTATCTACTTCAGAAACGTGCACTCGTACACAAGCCTCAAATTATCGGCAAAATTTTCGTCCTACTTTTTGCGAAAGTAAAATTAAAAAAATGTTTTTCTTTCAGTTAACTTGAAGTAAATTTCATAAACCATTTCAAATATAATGATTTGAAATAAAGAATGTAGAAACATTTTTGTTCATTATGAATTTATAATTACAATTTTATAAGAAGAAAATTTATTACACTAATACATGGACATTGATCATTCTTAATATATGAAATTGTTAGTGCTGATATTATGAGTAAAAATGTGGACACTGTAGTAAAAGCTTGACTCGACTCGATAACAAATACTCATAAAAGAGTATTACCATGAAGATTTTAATCATGTGATTAGGAAAATACAAAATTATGCAATACTATAAGTTTGGGTTTTAAGGTAAGCGGATTTAAATGGACGTACAAGGTTATACCAGATAGAAAATTAATTATAATGTACAGGTGAGCCATTCTTTAAACGACCGCAAGAAATACAGTACTAAAATTTATGACAATGGAACTTTTTTTGGATTTAATGTTAATACTAGAATTTTGTTTTAAAAGTGTGATTTTATTGTAGACAAAAATCATAAAAACATTTAATGTATGAATATCGATGAAAATAAGATATCCGGATTTTGTTTTCGACTTAAATGTTTATATACTCACATATTCAATACTGATATATAGCAGTTATAACGAACTGATAATCTAAAATATTTAATTGATAATGAATCTATTATCTTTTACTATTTAAATTTTTGATTTTACATATCAATTTGATGTAATAAAAATTTTTCTTGATTACAAAGAAATAAGTACATTTGGTTTTATTTCTTTTTAGATAGGCAAACGTTTGCTAATTTTTTTAAAATTTATATTCAAAGTTTTAGCAGTTCTATCATTTTTGAACTTTGTGTGTTTTTATTTTATTTTATAATTGTATTACCAATTTGTGTTATTAAATTGTATAAACACTTGGCTTTTTTAATACTGTACGGAATCCCAGCTTACGAGTATGCATTTTTTTATTGTTATTTTTCATAATAAAATTTTATTTGTTGTAATTGTGAATCCTGCAATACCCAAACATAAGGGTAACGATATTTTTTTCATTGAATCAAAATGAGTATTAAATATTAGAATGAAAATATACAATTAATTAATTTCAGTAATCAGTTATTGTATAAATATATTATTTACCTTTAAATAATAAAGAATAAGATGATTTTATAAATAAAATGCACGGTCAAATTAAGAAATTGGACTCGCGCTTATCCATAAAGAATTCTCACGTAAAATTCGCGTTTGAGTGGATAACTTAATTTAGATCATTTTTCATTGAATATGGTAGTAAACAGATCATGTAATGAAAATAGTGAAGTTTATTCATTTTAGTTTCATTTTATTTTAAAATTATTATCTGAGAGTAGAGTCATTCGTTTGTCAGGCTTCAAAATTATATTCAAAATTATATTAATAATGAAAACCTAAATGTATAAAAAAACTTATATCCTACAGGTAACCAAACTAAAATTTATTTTAAGTTTAAATTGAAGTAGCATAGATTATTTAAAGAAACTAAAAAATCGGTTTGGGATGGAAAAAACAAAAATAAAGCGTCAGTTATTCACGTACATGAAAGCTATGAAACCGTGTGCAAATCTTATCGCACTATGGCTCCCCGATAATACCCATAAATATGTATCAGAGATAGAAACTGAAGTTAAAATTGAAATATAGTTATGCATGTGGAAGAATAAATTTTGGCGTTTATTTTCACCAAAAATTCAATTTAATATATGTATTGAACGATGCAGAAGCTTGGAATTGTTTAACGATTACAGCTGTAACATCCCGGTAAAGTTATCGCCAGGATCGAAATCGCAGCGAAATTCAATTCTACTACAGTTAGCATGCAAAAAACAACCTCACGCTGCTGAAGCTTATAAATTGTGAAATTGGATGTATCGAAGCGCAAAGTAGACGAATGTTACGATAGTTACGTGAAGGACGTGGTACGCAATTGCTTAGTAACTTGTTTGGAGCTCCTCAAGGGCTAATTTTTGTTTTTGGTAAAATCATGTCAGGAGGATGTTACGAATCAAAAGTTGAACAACATTTCAGACAACTCATGCGCTCAATTAAATGTTTTACCTTGCAGTATATCGCGTGAACATTTTCGCGCGTTGTGTTTTGTTCTTCCTTTTCTTGGGAAGGGGCGAGATTGGATGAGCTATTGGGCTCGAAAAAGTCGGTGTAGTGAAACAAAAGAAGAAAAAAGTAGCCGAAACGAAACTGGCTTTCTAAGAAGAAAGCTTGGGCTAGCGTGAAAGTGCTGGCTGAAACTTTAAATCTCGTAGCTCACAGAACCCTTATTCTCTTCGCAAAGTGCAGTATTGTGCTAGTCATAAGTTATCTTGCCGTAAATTCATAAGCGCGCACGGTCAGCGACTCTCTCTCGCGTGCAAGCTTCGCGAGGGAAACATTATGTAGCCAACAATTTGATGGCTTTACTATCGACAGGAATGCTTTCAAGTCGAATGATTCAATAATACATTTTTTGTCCAATCAAAATTTCTTTATTCTTATTATATTTTCGTCGTAGATGACCGAACGAATTTAAATATACTCACGTTAAATGGATGAAATACACATAATGAATTATTATAAAATAGATATTGGACTTTGATATATTTAATCATCGATATAGTTTGAGAAAATTAAATAAAATACTGTTGTGATAAAAGTTTATACTTTAGTATGTTTGCGCATTTTATTTCTATACCAATGAGTGACTTCTGGTCTTTATTGAGTCGATATATAAAAGTGAATATAATACTTAACGTGTATAATTATAGCATTTTTAATATTGATAGAAAATAATGCATCATAAAAATTTTGCTAAAGAACCGTTTTATCATCAAGAGTTATAATATATTTTTTCACGCATCGTTGAAAGTTATGTATGACAATATTATACTTTTTCGAAAAATTCGATCTCTTTTCGATAAAATATTCAACATGCTACCTCAATCGCTTCAGCAATAAAAAGAGTAGAATCTAAATTCAATAAAATATTTCATAAGCGATTCTGTTCACGGGGAAAATTGCATCGACATGTATGTAAAAGATCTGCAATATAACTCATCTGCAAAAAAATGAAAAAGGAAAAGCGCTTTGCATAAGAGAGTTAAATATATACATATATAAAACAGTATTATACCTAGTTGAAATGTCGGTGGGTAAGCGTCTGATTACATGTGAGTTTGCTGGTTTTTTCCGTTTGTGTATGTATGCGCGTCCGACAAATTTATCGACTTGCTCTGATTACAAGAAATGCGATCGTTTCTATTCCGCATGAATTGGGGTTCCAAGTTCGATGTTTCCATTTGACTAGGCATGTAATAGAGAAGGTGAATTTGGGTTACTACTTTTGCGCAAATAAAAAACCATCAATACCAAACGCGCTTCCAGCCATTGAAAAAGTTTTATACTAGCACAATCGGCATTGTTCTACGTATAGTATGAGGTAGCTAATATTCGTTTGCTTAGAACACCACACGCAATCATTTGAGACTTTTGTTAGCGTAGACACACGCACAATTGCGTGCATGCGTAAACAGACACGCACACATGCGCACGAAATTATCATTTAGAAAAAACGGAAACCGTAAAAAGAGCAGTAATGCGGGTATTCAGACACAAAGCAATAAAAGTAAATGTAAGTTCTCAGCTCGTAAAAACGATTTTATTTCTTATTACCCATACGCTATCTTTATCTCTCTCTCTCTCTCTCTCTCTCTCTCTCTCTCTCTCTTCATATTTGCGTATATTCGCTGAATATAGTGCACGACAGCCAACGTGAAACCAATAATAAAATAGATAAAAACTATACACTACGGGTACAAATCTAGATGAAGCAATAAATTGTCCATGCTATGATAGTATAAGGGGAGCGATTTCCTCAGGGAAATAAAGATTTTATAGTTTGACATTCGACTTGTTATTCTTTAACTCCTCTTTTTCGATTCATGAATGCATAGTCATTAGTTACACTCGCGACGACGCATTTTTATGCAGCTAGCTACTCGTCGTCGAAGCGCAGAGAGATCTCGAGTATTTCTTTCTCGTGTCTTTCCTCATTATCTCTTATTTCAAGCTTGAAAACTCGAATAAAAGTGCAAACTGTCTTCGAGAGTGCCACTCGCTCTTGCGACAGACGAAAAGTGGCGAGAGAGAAAGGAAAAAACAGAATGAAACGTTGTATTGAGATTCGCGTTCTACTGCATTATAACGACTCAGCAGTAGGACTTTTTTTTGCTCAATTGTATTCGTATTCCTTCCCACTTGCGCTCTTTGTTGAATTCAGATTCCAGTGCTCTCTGCACTGCTCAGAAGGTAGAGAGGAAAAAAGAGAGGGAGAGGGATTACTGGCAAGCCAAATCTCTCTCATCCCTGGGCGTTTTGACTTATCCCCTCGTGATTTTATCGTTGCCAGGACGACGATATTCAAATAGAGAACGAAGAGAGAGACGATACTTGGACCCTATCTCTTGAGGTGCGTTACGCCTCCCACGGGTCGTCGCCGTCGACGCTGGACTACTTCGGCTACTACTACTATACGCCGCTTCGGAATGCGTCCTGTGTGTATACGCGTGATAAATGTACGATCTACTGTTCCTCTCATACATACCCCCTCCTTTTCCCCTTGTTCGCTTCTACTTCTTTTTACGAGCTCGAGCTCGCTCTGATAATAGCACCATGCATCATTTCTGAATTAGAAGACTTCGCAACGTTGCTGTTGCTAACATAAAGTAATAACTGAGCAGCCCCAAGAGAAGATGACCTACATCCGCGCGTGCGCGCGGAGCTTCAGCCAAAAACGTCTAATCATGTCCCCCCTATTCTCATGTAAATTTTCGAGGAATACAGCGAAAAGCTAGGGCCACAAATCAAAAGGCATTAGATCTTACAATGGACGACAAAAGAAGCTATAATCTATTCTCTATCTTCTCTTTCTTTTTTTCTTTGTAGTGCGAGAGAGGACCTCGTGCGCAACGTTAAGTCACGATCGATATACGACTACCGTGAGATATCGTCTGTTATGCGTGTGGCTTAGATTCTTTTGCGCGAAAGAAGAAGAGAGGAAAACAAACTGCTTCGACGTCGTATGAGAAGGGAATATTGCAATATCATTGTACGCACTGGAAGAGCCCGAGGTAGTATTCAAGTAAACTTTTGTAATCGAGAAACAGTTGAAATTCGTGACATACAATCAAGTTGATTCTAGTAATTATAGAAAAAAATATTAAAGTTACCCGAAGGACAATAAAGTTAGATGAGTGATGATAGAGAGCGGATTATCATATCATAAAATGAAAGAATCTAATCCAACGTGATCCAATCAGAATTGCATTGGTGCGAAGTGACACTCGCGCGCGAGAGGATTAAATTATTTTCAGTTCTCGGAGCTGACGAGGGGTAAGGGGGAAATAAACAATATTCGATTAGCTCGCATTATGTAGGCTCGTCGAGTAATCGCGTCCCTGGAAAACGCTTTTCGGTACACCATTCATTTATCGCCTCGAATGGCACACACACACGCGCGCGCGCGTGGGCACACCTCGTGCAATTGCGCATAATTACGTGAGTATAACTGGATTCAAATCTATTTTGCAACGATCATAACCAGTGGGCGTGTTTCTGTCGTCGAGCCGATTATATTTGCTACGAGCGTGGCTGAGGGCGCATTGGCAAAATCCTCTCGCGCTTGAATAAATAAATGAAATTGGTGAAGGGAGGTCGTGTGCAAGCGATAATTGCACGCGACGCCAACTTCGTTAAGCGTGGATAATAAAGAGCAGTATAGCTCTAAAAATGAATGGGACTGGAGAGAGAAAGAGGAACGCGAGGCGGTAATGCGAGCCGAAAAATTCGCGATAAATATGCGCAATTAACGCCCGCCACGGATACTTTGTTAACGGTAACAAATGGAATACTCGTTTACTCCCACGCACGTTTTGTTGTTTCTTTTCTTTCTCACCCTCTTTCGTTTTTTGCGAGCGTACATTCTATCCGCCAGTCAGCTTTCATCATCATCAGCTATAACTTTTCCAGCACATTGTTGCAATTGTTTGTGAGTTTATTTTATGCCTTGTGGCTTTATTTTCTTGGACCTTTCTTACTGGAGTATTATGAGTCCGGTAATTGTGTAATTAGAGAACGCCGCGGCGTCATCGCGATTTTCGTTTGTTGCAATGTTTTCGCACCCTCCGCAACGCTCAAGCAATTTCACTTTTACGGATACGAGTCAACGACTAAAGTGCATCGAATAATCCCGCAGAGGCAAAAAAATTGCTCGTTCGAGTTGCGCACTCGTTAGTAACCGACTGGACTCGGTAATTGCGGCAAGCTGAAGGCTTTATATCGCTTTACGTACTGAATATAAACTTCCGTAAACGGAATACATACTATCTATATGTCCGAATACCGAAATATTTTCTCGGTATTCGGAACAGTAACCTATTTGAAATTTCAAAAATTTTTATAAATAAATCTTCTAACTTGCAGTAATGATTACAAAGTGTTGTAAACAAATACAGTAAAAATCCGTACCCTTTAACTAATTCATATTGAATAGATCCGACCTAATAACAATATTTATTCGTTGAAGTCGCTATTCGCATGATAAAATGAAAAGAGAGAATTAATAAGAAGAGTTCAATGGCTATTTAGCCGAAATTACTTCTTTGAAACTTGCATTGCATCTTTATTGCAACACCCCAGCTATTTATCACTGCTAGATTGACATCGTTTGTGTTGGATGCCTTATCTGTGAAGCAACGGTGCCAAATAGAAAAGAATCACTGGCCACAAAAAATAATAATAAAGAAAATTGCGAGATAAATCAATATACGAACAAAATAATTATGAGAATTAAGTTCCAGCTGAAAAATTATTATATAAATTATTTTATTCGTGAAACAATTTATTAAACTACTCATTTTGAAATTCAAATGAAGTTTAATTTCACAATTACCACCTATTATGAGAAGCCGCACTCTATTATGAGTTTATATAAGCATTAGGTCTAAATGAGAAAACAAAAGAGGGTTTAATATTATATGATATACACAGATACATGAAGGTGCAGTAGAATCACGTGGCTTTTAGATTAATTTGAAAATAAGATATTTTCTTTTTTTTAATCGTACATAATTTATAAATAATGAACTGCTGATTGCAATGAAAGTTGGTTATTCACATTCGATTCATTCAAATAGTTTATTTTTTTTAAATTCAAATGAAAAGAAAATGATCAACAAAGATAGGCATGGTCAAATCGTAAATACAATTCAAATATCAAGGAATGCACATAGGAACAAGAGCGAAGACAGCAAAAGCGCTTCAAGGGAAGTCGGATTTATTATTAAAACTGGCATTCGGACTTGTACGCGGAAGCTCATCGTCATAAATTCAGCTAGAGAGAGAGAGAGGGAGAGAGAGAGGGAGAGAGAGAGAGAGAGAGAGAGAGAGAGAGAGAGAGAGAGAGATGGTAGCTCATGTTTTATACAGCAACAACTCACCTACGTCAGGATGCACGCGGCAGTAGTAAGCATCAAGCGATACGCGGCGTGTTTCCTGAAAAGGCGCTTTTCCGGCCAACCGAACGTAAACACAACAAGGGATATTTGCTCCGTCCAATAATGTATTTACTCAAGTAACATTACTTTCGCCTCAAAGGTTAACGACAATATACTTGCAAGCATGCAGGTTATAATTGTATTGTTAATTTATACATTTGGCGGAGATGTATCATCCACGTTCGTGTTCACTTGGACAATCATCACCCCACCGGTCACCACGCACTTGACGATCACCATGATGCATGCTGTATTGCGCGCGTGCAAAAGAGGAAGAGACACTCTGTGTATACACAACAACACACCTGGAGTCCACGTAACGTCGTGTCGGCACAGCGACTGGCGCAATTCCAGGGGGAGCGGCTCCATAGCTCCATACTGTATATCTCCAGTGGTGTCACTTTTGCAAAGCGCGCAGGCGCCAACTGCTACTCTGCACCGGTATGAGATACACCTTGTACATACCACTACTTCATCCGTTATTTGTTGCCGACCAATTCGTTTTTAGTGATATTTGGAGAATTTGCTTTTTTTTCATGCTCACACTCGTGAAGGGGAACGTTAATGCGAGGGTGTCATGGCGAGGCTTCCCTTACACGAGCAACTCGATCTTTTCGCAGAGGCTTCTTGAAAAGCTGGTTATTTTTTGTCACTTTTAAGCTTATTCAAAGCACGCACTTGAAAATCTGAGTCTTCTGTAAGCGTGTCTGCAAGTGAACATTTTTTTCATAACCACTGTGAATTAACTATGGAATATTTCGATTGGACAAAGACAATTAAAAAAAATACTCATATCCCGATCTCGAATGAAAGATACTTTTAAGGACCGATCAAAATGATTGTAAAAATATGCTTTTACGTAATTAATGTATATCCGTAACAATTTTCCCTATCTCAAGACTGATTGCACTAAAACTGAAAACAACTGGAAAAGTGCCAAGTAAAAATGAGGTCTAATTAGAAATAAGTTATTTTTATTATTTTTCTGTTATTTTTCAGTAAAACACATTTTTAAATAAAATCACGAGCTTGCTTTCATTTTCAGTTCAAGATGTTAATTCATATGTGACACAAATCTTCTTGCTTTACAAAGAAACAAACTTTCGTCATTTAAATTGTAAAAAAGAGTCATCTAAATAAACCGACATGTAGAATTGAAAATCCGCAGAGTGTATAAAAATCCGAATGAGAAATAAAAAAAAAAGGTGCGGAGCTCGTAATCGCGCGTATTCTCTTTCAGACTCCACTTAGTATGCAAGTAGGGAATGCGCACCGAGGTGGAAAAGGGTTAGGAGGAAAAGATCGAGGTCGTGTGCTTGAGTTTCCGAGTCTCATTACGGCTTGGATGCTAAATTATGTGTGTGTGTGTGGGAGGGGGGGCAGAGAGGAGCAGATGCTGCTGCTGCCGTGCGACTATCTATCCACTTTCTCATGAACGTAACTAGCTCGGTGCACACAGTGTAAACGCATTGCGCGCGTGGCGGTGCAAGTGGCTCAGGGTTTTCAAAGTTTACAACTACAAGTATAGCCCAAGAGAGAAGAGCACCCTAATGGAGCGTATTTTGAAAGGCCTACTACATTAAACATTGTGCTATTTGGCACTATATATTTAAAACTATATGTTACACAGCCACCATCAGAAACCGTTCAACATTTTCGAAAGATTCTATAAACATTTAAAAATAATAAAGCATTATTTTGCTTATTTTTATTTGCAGAAAATAACCACTACTTCAATGTGCTCCAAGCATTAAAAACATTACGACAAAAATAATCAGCAAAGAAAAAATTGACATCAGTGTTTTTTTATAATCTCTACTAAGCGGATTCGTGCGGAAAGGATTCTTAAAATTTTTTTCGTGTCAACTAATCACATGATTATATTTACGTAAAAGCATATAAAGAGAGGAGTAAGAGAGAGAGAATAACATGCTAGCGTGTGAAACTACAGTGATAACATTATCTTAACGATTGAAAAGAAAAAAAATTACATTCAATTACAATTACGTTTTGTGGTTGCTGATAAAATTATTTTATCACTTACGGCCAAATATTATAATGATAAGAATAATATTGAGTGAAGAATTCGAAAGTCTTCAATTTCTTTAACAATTAATTTTTCTTTTTTTTAAAGAAAGAAAATACATTATTTATTCCCATTTCGCTCTTTTGAAAAACTGTTAATAACTTAACGGAGAATAGTTACGTGGAAAATAATTGTGCAGCGAAAAACAGATGGGGTAGAACAATGAAACAGGATTAAAGCGAAAAGGTTTGGATATAATTTCTGCGGAAATTTGTTAAAAAAGGAAAGTTTTAGAAGTGATACAATTCGCGAAAGATGTGAACGAAATGCTCTGACACTTAAGTCGAGTATTAAGTTCGCGTTGTGACGGAAAAAGCGATGCAGAGTTTCTGTTCTGGATAAATCTTATTTATAATAAAAAGAGCTTAGCGAAATTTAAAAGCATCGGTTAATTAATATCAATATCAATTGAAAATTTTTCGAAATACCACGAGCAAGCAAGTCGCTGCTCAGTTTAATCAACGCATGCTCATCACCAGAATTTGTAAAACCAGCAGAACGAAAGCAATTCTTTCCCGTTTCATTATTGGGGTAATAGATGCATAGGTGCTTGAAGGTTGAATTAGACCATTCGCAAGAGCCAATAGAACGTACGAGGATCGAGCGGAACGGCAGGCTAATCACCGTCGTTGGCGGTAAAGCCAAAACATGCTGGGTCCTACGGTCTTTGCAACACAAAAGAGAAAAAATCCGGGAAAATAGAATTCAATAAGACACGTTCGTGTTTCTAGCGCTAAATTCTCGCAACATTATAATTTTATAGTTGTCTGCGACAACTTATAACAATTTATGATTTTGCTAATTAGAATGAATAGATTTGATTTGTATTTTTATTTAATTTTTAAGAATTTATTTTAAGCTTAAAATCGTGATTAAATTCAAATTTATTCATTTTATATTTTTATTAATTTATCTATTTTTTGTAAATTTGGGAATAAAAGCCGAAAAATATTTCAAAATCTTTTTATGATTCTCACTGTTGCTTAACCCGAACAACGATAATATTTATAGAGCGTAATAAAACAGCCAAAATTACACGCACGTGTGCGTGTGCGGAAACCAATAAAGAGAGAAAGCATTGAATTTATTATATCGCTATAGTGAAACGTAGAGAAAAGTAGGACATTTCGTATTTTCGAGAAGATAGGTAAATAAAAGGCAAACGGTTATGGCAAGGCATTACGTGGTCACACTTGCGTTGTCGTCCCCTCCGTATATGCGCGAGCCAGAGTAAGAGCACTCATCTTCATACTCACATCACACTACCGTGCGGTGTATCCTTCTGCGTAAGCGACGCGTGACATACGTACATCGCACAATGCGAGGTAAATTTATTGGCTCAGCTCCTTTTGTATGTAACTAAACGCATGGGGAGGCGCGTCAGAAAACTACTTTCCCTGCTCGTGCAAGTGCAGTACACGCGCGCACGACATATGGCGCACGGTGGTACGTGTACGCGTGTATCTGTGTGATCCTATGGTTCTTTTTGGGGGATACGTATAATCCTAAGCTCATTCTCCTTTGGGAATCTGAGCGCGCGTGCGACCCTAATTGATTTTTGACATGTTGAAAAACGCCGCTACGACCGGTATGGGTGTGTGTGTGCGCGTCGCCTTCTAGTATATTGGCTAGCTCGTCTCGTATCAGAGCCATGCGCGTACGGCACACTTATTTTGTTTGGCTCGTCAAATTTTCATTACTTCGGTATTGTTTAATTATTCTACACGTTGGCCGTTTAGATTGCTTATGAAGCTGATGTCCTTGATTTATCTTGCATTTACGGATACTAGATAATTAAGAGTGGAAATACATAAGTTTATTTGTTCAAAAATATACGTCACACACATGTCATTGTTTCGACGATATAATTTTTAATCGGTAAATAGGACAAGCGTCTTTTAAGAATATATAATATTTTACCTAACATTTTTATAATTGGAAAACGTAACTATAATCAAACGAAGAATACATTACGATATGTATAGAATATGCTGAATATGCAATATAATTGTGCAGACGTTTTAATTAGATATATAATGTTACGAAAATATACGTTCACTAACTTTAAGGATAAGCGTTCAAACAAATGAGTTTCATAAAATGTCCCTCTTGAGAGTATATATGCAAAGTAAGTTAATCAAGTAAGCATAATTCAATTGGAGAGATGCTCTGCTGTTAAACAAGAGTGTAGAAAACACCTTGTTATCAAAATTTTTTTCTTCCTTGTACTCGATTTAACCAACACGTGCGCAATAATAGATGTTCGCACACATCGTCGAACAATTTTTCCAAAGGTATCTTCATGGGCGTGGCATACACACTTTTCATCCATCTTGCTGCTTACTTCTTTTGAATGATTTAATGCTTCGCCAGAATGCTATTACTGGTTTGCTCGCTGTATAAGCACTTTTAATATTGATTTTCTGTACGTCATTTCTTTTAATTTATCGAGAAAAGTCAAGATCGTTTATAATAATGAATGATCAAACGCTCTTATGTAATTCGTTTTGATCTAAAGAAAAATAAATAAGTCTCAAGAATTTGGTATGAGGCCGATGTTGAATATCATTAATGTTGATGCGAATACATTTTTTCTCGTTAGTGTGGGCGTCGACAATACTGTACATACAACACCTTGGCCGAAACATCTGTATGATAGTAACCGTTTCACCTTAGCGCAGAATAGGACTTTTGTGCTAGCCAATTTTCTTGAGTTTGCCTCTCTCGTCCCTTTTTTCCATCAACTCGTTACTAGCACCGGTGTACATGCCGTAACAACATCGCGTCCACTGGTATGCTTTAGAATTCATTCCAGCTCCCTTTGGTCTTTTTTCTCTATACTTTTTGCTTTATTTCTATCACTCAAATATTTAGCTTTATTCAATATTACCTTTTAATTTATCGTTTGAAATATAATTTATGGGAATAGCCTGCTATGAAAAATCATTCTTTGAAATATAGCTTTTAACTAAATTTTGCAGCATTATTTTGCAACGTCTTATAACAAATATTATAACCCTTTGTAACTCTAAAAGAAATTAATTCTAGTATGCGATATTCAAAAGCACGTACTAAATATATTTCAATATAGATTTCACAATTAAGATTTTTTATAGGAAAAAACCCTCGGTACGTTTTTCGCCTGGTTTAAGAATGAAGAATCTCATAATACCACGAAAGTTTCAAATTATCGTCATAAAAAATATTACAAAATGTTATTTTACCTAACTCACGCTCT